AGGTGCATCTCTTATAGGCATCATAGACGGATCTTGTTTTTTAATCCAATCTGCCACTCTCTGTCTCTTTATTGGTGCATTTAGTCCATTTACATTCAGCGTAATTATTGATAGGTATGAGTTTAGTGCTGTCATTTTGATGTCCTTTTGTGTGTGTTGTTCACAGTTTTTTATTCCACCTAATTTCCTGTGCTGAGTCATTTTTCTTTCTGTATTTTCTTTATATCTTTTTCATTGTTGTTGATTTTGTATTTGCTGAGTTGAAGGACATCTTGCTTGGTTGCTCATATTTTTGGCAAGTATGAATAAAGCCGCTATAAACATTTGTGTGCAAGTTTTTATGTGGACATTTGGGTAAATATCTAAAAGCAGGATTGCTGGATTGAATGGTGAGTCTATATTTAACTTTGTAAGAAATTGCCAGACTCTCTTCCAAAGTGGCTGTAAATTTTGCATTCCCACCAGCAAAGAATGAGAGATCCTGCTGCCCCACATCCTCACCAGCATTTGGTGTGGTCAGTTTTTGGATTTTAGCCATTCTAATAGGTGTGTAGTGGCATCTCGTTGTTTTGATTTGCAATTCCCTAATGACATATATGATATCAAACATTTTTTCATACACATGTTTGCCATTTGTATATCTTCTTTGGTGAGATTTCTGTCCAGATCTTTTACTTATTTTGTAATTAGATTGCTTGTTTTCTTATTTTTGAGTTTTAAGGCTTCTTTGAATATCTTGGATTCAAGCTCTTTATGAGATATGTGTTTTACAAATATTTTCTCCAGTCTGTGGCTTGTCTTTTCATTCTCTTAGCAGTGTTTTTTGTAGAAGTTTTTAACTTTAATAAAGTGCAATTTATCACTATTTTTCTTTTATGGGTCATGCTTTTGGTGTTGTAACCCATCGCCAAACTCAAGGTCGCCTGGAGGTTCTCCTATGTTATCTTCCACAAATTGTATTGTTTTGTGTCTTACTCTTCAGTCTGTGATTCACATTTGAGTTCATTTTTGTGAAAGATGTAAACTCTGTGTCTAGATTCATTTTTTTGGCACGTGGATGTCCAGTTAATATAGCACCATTTGTTGAAAATACTATCCCTTCTCCACTGAGTGATGATTTTTTTTTTTTACCCACCGTATAAAGTTACAAAGTATCATTGGGCATATTTTTAAATGCCACAACAGAACATAAAAAATACTCTCCAGAGAAGAATGCAAGCAAATATTGCACTGTCCAATACAGTACCACTAGTTATATGTGGCTATTGAACACTTGAAATGTGACTAGTGCCATTGAGGAACTAATTTCTAATTTAATTTAAATTTAAACAGCCATGTGTGACTAATGGCTATTCTATTGAACAGTGCAGTTCTAGAACAAGAGCAATAGGCCCTTATTATTCTGGGCTGATTGATCACATCTAAATTAGAGCATTCAATTTGTTGGGGTGAGAGATGGAGTGAAACACACACTGCAGAGTGATAGAGACAAACTGCTGTGCATGAAGAGAAGAGAAATGGTAAGAAAACTAGAAACTACCATATTAGAACTAGGTTGAAGAAATCTGAGATGGCATTGGTGGGGAAATAATTCATTTAAGCAATTAAGGGTGCAATGATTGGAAGAATAATTAGATTTATTTTGAAAGTTTTCTATAGAGAGAATTATAATCAATGGATAGCTGGATATAAGGAGGAAATTTCTAATTTGAGTTCCCTTAATTAGAGTAGTCCAGTCCTAGGCTGCATGACCTGGCCTTTATACTGATGTTAAAGCATTATAATTTCACCTTCTTTCACTAAGAAATAGTCAAAACACAGAAATCATCCTTGAGGAACAAAACAATTTTCCCACTCTTGAGACCCGGAGTACATTAATGGAAAGGGTGGATACTTTTGTACTGAGAGGAAGATATAGAGACAAAGTTCATGAAGTCCTTTGAGTTCCTCTGGAGGGGATCTCAGAGTTTTTGCGTCAGAAAGAATCAGAGTACATTGACATAATCTTTAAGTTGGTTTCTGTCTTAGTTATCTAGTGCTGCTATAACAGAAATGCCACAAGAGGATGGCTTTAACATAGAGAAATTTATTTTCTCACAGTCTAGGAGGTTAGAAGTCTAAATTCAGGGTGCCAGCTCCAGGAGAAGCCTTTCTCTTTCTGTTGGCTCTGGGTGAAGGTCTTTGTCATCAATCTTCCCTTGGCCAAGGAGTTCTTAGTGGGTCTAAAGGAGGCTCTATGTTCCTGATGCTTCTTTCTTGGTGGTATGAGGTCCCCATGTCTCTCTGCTCACTTCTGTCGTTTATATCTCAAAAGAGATTGGCTTAAGACACAATCTAATCTTGTAGATGAGTCCTGCCTCATTAGTATAACTGCCAATAATCCAATCTCATCAAGATCATAGAAATAGGATTTACGACACAGGAAAATCACATCAGATGACAAAATGGTGGGCAATCACACAATACTGGGAATCATGGCCTAGCCATATATTTGGGGGGGACACAATTCAATCCAAGACAGATTCTTTCAATGAGCTTGTAGGATTCCAACTGTGATCCCTGATCTAACTGTAATCTAATAAACAACTGGTTACCAAACTCCAAACAATTGTTCTAAGTTCCCACTAAGTTTTCCCCTATAGATCACATTTTCTCTAAACTTGAGTCATTTACGTCACTAATTTCTAAGTCATATGTTTCTTAAAATTAAAGTATTATGATGATGTTTTTCTATTCAGTTGTCAAGCTCAGCATTGGAGAGACTCCTTTAAATTTGATTTCCCCATACTTTGGACTGAACCAGATCATTCTTGAAGTATATGTGAGGTCATCTACAGAGAATGGCAAGTGTTGTTTTTCTGTATTTGCCCTCTAGCAAATGTAGTTTAAAAACATGTTAATCTGATTTCCAATCACATGATCAGGTGGGTGGGCATTATTAATGCGATATGCAATAGTCATTTCCCAGGCATCAATAATACCAACATTGAGATCCACAAAAACATCATGCATTATAAGATTCTGAATGTAGCCGTGAAAGTCACTAAACATCTCTGCATTTAGATACATCTCCCTGGTGTTTTCAATTTTAAGGATAACTTTGGTCTCTGGGCTTCGCAGCAATAGACATTCAATGGCCCTTTGAACCTTGATGGCCCTACAAATGAAAATGTTGATGGGAAAAGGCCTGAAGTGCTGGCCATGGGTAATGACAATGGCAGTGTCACTGTCTCCTGCTACCTGGCCAGTTTCTCATGGGATACAGTTTTCATCTTTTGCTGAGAACAGCTTTTCAGTAATAAATGGATGACCATGTTTTTTCCACTGAATCAAAATGTGTCTTTCAGCATTCAGAAGCACATGGGTTTTAAAGATCCCGGTTCCATGAAGATCAAAATATTTTAAAGCTGATGTAAAACAAATCAGTAGATCTTTTAACAAAAGAAAAACCAGGTATAATTTTAAATTGCACACACCTTCTGTAAAATTCTAACCAAGGTCACTTAGGACTGTTCTGAGCATCGCTGACTATGGGAGGTAAGGACCATACCAGATGCACTACAATGTTAACAAAATTTTGAACTTTTCATCAGGATATATGAAGAAGAAAAGTATTAATATTCTTACGAACAAGAAAATAACATGTAATTTTTTACTAAAAATTAACATCTCATCGTTTGATGAATTAAAAAGTATAATAATAAAACAACCATCAGAAAAGGAAAGCAAAGAATTCCAACTTATAAAAATACTTCAAAAGTCAACTACAATTAAAAAAACAAAATACATACTTTCCACAACTTTTTGTAAGTAGTAAATCTACGGTCGCAGTGTCGAATCTCCCATGAGGTAAATGAGTTTTCTTTTCAAGCAGTCATTTATATTTTTTGCTGCATCTAACTCAGCCTGTTTGCAAAATGCTGTAATCCACCTTCTTTGCAAAGTGTAACCTCTAGGGAAAGGAGTCTTCATTCCAATCTGACATTTCTTTTTATATTCTCAGTCTCTGGCAATAAAAATTCTCACAGTTAGTAATTTTAATCACCATAAATTATTTTGGAAACACCTTCCTTGTTTTCTCCCTCCTTTTCCTCTCTTGACCCTTCTTTTCATCTCTGTCTCTGCCCTCATCTATTCCACAAATATTTACTGAGCACCAGCTATGTTCCAGGCACTGGCTTTGAGAAATAATAATTAAAACTTATAGTCCTCTATATGACTTCCAGTCTTAAGCCAACAGAAATCTACATTTATCTCACACCTTTGCACATAAACATGGCACAAGAATCGCCTTTAACAAGGTCATGATAAAGGGATGAATTTTAAAAGTTATCACTAAATAGCTTTTTCCTGAAATGGAGATGGGTTTTCTCTTGAGCATTCACGGTGTCTTGCTGGGATATACCCTGTCTCCAAGGCCACTCAACTGTGAGACTGATAGCCAAAGTCAGGAGGAAGTGGGTGGCTAGGAAGTAGCAGACTCAGTGGCCCAGGTGAATATTGCACTGATGATATGGGCTTTGCTGAATTGGTAAACCTCCTCCTTCTCAAACTAGATCTCCGTGAAAGACACTTAAACATGTTTGTGAAATGAGTGTCACATGTTTATTTTGTGTGTACCAGAATTATGTTCTCCAGTTAATCAATGAACCTCTTAAATGTTTACTTGTGTCTAGAACTTGATGTAATATTCTCGGTGTGATCTGACTAGTGCAGGGGAAAGAAAAAGCAGAACCATTACCCCCTTGTTCTGAACATTCTACTATTAAAGTAGCAGGTGAGTTGGTAAGCTTGCTTGCACCTAGGTAAGATTCTGAGGCCACTTTTATATTTGCTACTTAAAACTTTCTTTGTCACCTACCTGTATTGTTGAGGGTTTGGATATAGATATAGGAACTTAAATTTTTCCATATTAAATTACATCAGGTTTCTAAGTGGTTCTGAAAACTAATAGTCTGATACTATTTTTTGAGAAACTGCCTGGCTTTACTAGAAATTGCTATCGTTCAGGCAAGAGAGGAACAAAAGTGTTATGAGGACAAGTTGCCTCAAGAATGTGAGAACTTTCTTTGGTGTAAAAGTTGGGAATGGATTATGGTTGCCATGGCAGAGAAAGGATCTATCTTTTTCAGATTGTGAGCTTTAGGTCTGGGTTCATGGTTTATTTATATCTATGTTCTCCACAGAGTCCTTGGGTGATGCAAAGAGTTAACGCTCTCAGCTACTAACCAAAAGGTTGGTAGTTTGAGTCCACCCAGGGGACTGGTGATCTATTTCCAAAAAATCAGCCATTGAAAACCCTGTGGAGCAGAGTTCAACTCTGATAAACATGGGGTCATCGTGAGTTGTAGTCAACTTAATGGCAACTGGTTTACTGTTCTCCATAGGGTTTAGCAAAGTGCTTTGCACATCTTAGGCCCTCAATAAACATTTGCTGAATGCATGAAAAAGGGTCTATGAGTAATATATACCCCATTGATTGTTACAATGGCAGTCATTTGCTTTACTGAAATTCACTTTAAAGCCAGTGCAGCAGAAACATCATTTTTATCAGTGAGATGAATTTGTATTCATCTGTGGTAAAATGGAAAAGTCTACAGAAACTTCTAGTACATAGACCTATGCGTGAGATGATTTGACTGAAAGAGAAATTAGAAACCACCAGTGACAATGTCCTAACTCTGAAGCTGTGCAGTTCATCTGAGACATTTTCGCATAGCACCAGCACGATTGGCTTTTGGGAAATAAATTTCAAGTTTAAATACAAATACCCTGTACATTTTGAGAGAGAGCATCTAAAATTAAGAATTCTCCAACCTCTCATATCTGACTCAGGATGAAAACTGGTTTAAGTTAATATGGAAACAATGACCAAAAATAAAATCTTGGAAGATGGTTGATACCAAATTTGTCCCAGGAAACTCATGATGCTGAGAAATCAAAATGGTGAATGAATAGCTCTCAAAGTAATAATGTCCTTTGAATGATAAATAGTGAGCACCACAGGCAACAGCAGACCAGACTTACTGTTACATGGTAAGACCTCAATAGATGTGAAGTTCTCCATCATTTCAACCCCCACACTGGACCTTCAAGAAATAGAAAAATGAATTATCTTGATATCTGCCCAGATACTAAGGTAAGAATGAATTACTAGCTTAGATGACTTGAACCCTTCTTATCTCTCTGCAAATGTTTTTTTTTTTTTTTTCATTATTTTTATATATTTATGCTATTCTAGGGAAGTAAACAGGTCAGGATTCTGGAAAACTGTTCAGGAGATCCAGATGCAGAGAGTCACTCACCTTCCACGTGCAATCAATCAAATCAACATACATGTTCATTGATTTTACCTTTTAAATGCCATCCTCTCCATCTTTACCACCCTGCAGTAATTCAGGCCCTCATCAACTTTCTTCTAGGCCAGTGCTTCTCAAACTTAAGCTTGAATTAGAATCACCTGGAGGGTTTGTTAAACCCAATTGCTGGGACCTACCCCAGAGTTTCTGATTCAATAGGTCTCAGGTGGAGCCCAGACTCTTTTGGCTGAGCCAAGAATAAAGGGATTTTTCCATACCTTGGCCAGGAAAACAAAAAGGCAGTGAAGGTGAGATAGGGGTGGAAGGAAAATCTTGTAAAGATAGAGGGTCAACTGTGCCCTGCCCCATTTTGTCCACATAATGTTTGAATTGGGTTTGAACCTGAATTTCCAGGATATTATGCTATCCAGCTTACTCTTCTGAACACACATCAGAAAACCAAGGCTTTTCTACAGGAGTAGTTTCCAAACTGCGGAACCCAAGTCCCTTAAAATGATCCATAAAGTAAGTGTCCGTGGTCAGATAAGTTTGGGAAATGTTACATGCTTTTTCCCTCCTTGAAGATTTGTATCATATATACTAATGTTTCTGGGATATCCTGCTGCAAAGAAACCTATTTAACTTTGTTTTCCCAGATTGTGTTATTGTTTCACTCGACAAACATTTGTTGAGAAACTTCTATGTGTCAGACATTGTGCTAGGCCTATGAGACAAAATGGCAGACCTCAAAGGCTTCCATCACACATAGATGGACTGTAAGGCTCTGCCTACCCTTCTGACCTCTTTTCTCCCTCCCTTACTGCATTCCAGCCTCACAGCCCCCCTTATGGTTCCTTGAATATGCCAGCATGTTATTGCCTCAGGTTCTAGTTCCTCTCTCCAGAATGGTATTTCCCCAAATATTTCACATGGTTCATTCCCTCACTTCACTCAGGTTGCTGTACAAGTGATCCATCTCAGGTTGTTGTTTGAGAGAAGCCTAACCTGATCACCCATTTAAGGCAGCATCAACCATCATTTTCAAATCCCTTACTCTGTTGACTTTATGTTACAAATCTGTCTATTGGCTTTCTACCCCACTAGAGGAGTCCCTGGGTGGTATAAACAGTTAACACGCTCAGCTGCTAACTGGAAGTTTGGAGTTTCGAGTCCACCCGGAGCTACCTCAAAAGAAAGGCCCGGCGATCTACTTCCAAAAAATCAACCATTGAAAACCCTATGGAACACAGTTCTACTTTGACACATGGGATCGCCACGATTCAAAATCAACTTGACAGCAAATGGTTTGGTTTACCCTACTAGAATGTTGAATTCCCAGCACCTAAAACTGTGTCTGGAATATAGAAAGTATGAAATAAATATTTATTAATTGAATGAATAAATGAATGAATGGTGGAAAAAACACCTCCCAGAGCTTACAATTTAGTGGAGGATATAAAGAAATAAACTGGAAATTTAATGGTGTAATAAGTCTTAAGATTGGGGAAGAACAGATAAAATGGAAGAATAGAGGACTAGCACTTCGCCCACACTTGGAATGCTTCTTGGAGGAAATGACATGTACACCAAGGCCTGTGAAATGCCAGAGTTAAGAGACAGCATGTTCTGTGTGTAAAATGGTCAATTTGGCTGACAGAAAGCCGGGCAGCATTAAGGTGAGATGACAGACTGCAGAGATAAATAAGTCCTTGTAAACATATTAAAGAGCCTGGATATCATCCTTAGAGCAGTGGGACCATGTTAAGGGTTTTAATCCAGGGAAAGTAACAGTCACATCTGCATTTTGGAAACATGTCTGTATGCAGAAATATCGGGATGAAGTGTGGAGAATAGATGTGAGAAAACAAGACTTGAGGGCAAGGAAACCTGCTTTGGAGATTGTTGTAAAAATCTAATTGACAGATGATAATTTATACAAGAATAAAGGCAACAGGCATAGAGAGAAATGGCTAGATTCAGGAGCTATTTGACAGGTACAATTTATAGGATTTGATGATTCATTTTATGGAAAGGGTGATGTAGACTGAATAATGATAACATTCATCACAGTGTTTTTGTTTTGTTTTGTTTTTTTGGTGTAATATCAGTTCAGGGCAAATACAGCCATGGTTGCAGAAGTGACCTGTATGGGGCCCTGTAAACATGCTACCAGCTGAATTGACTCTGAGTGATGGATCCTACTATAATTTTCAAACTACAAGTCACCAGTTGCCATTAAGTCAATTCCGACTCATGTGCGTCAGAGTAGAACTCTGCTCCATAAGGTTTTTAATGGCTGATTTTTCAGACGTAGATCACCAGGCCTTCTTCCAAGGTTCCTCTGGGTGGACTCGAACTTCCAATCTTCCAGTTAGCAGCCAAGAGTGTTAACCATTTGCACCACCCAGGGACTCCCAATTACAACTTAGTCAACATTAATTGACATGATAAGGGAGCTTGATTAGGGAAAGGTATAAGGCAGAGCTAGGTCTCTGATTCCAAGTCTACCACTTGGTATTTATCATTGTATTTGAAGGCCTGTTTACCCTTGGAAAAGGCCCCATTCTTCCTTGCTAAGATAGGAAATGTTTCTATTCCTGGTGGTCACATGGGTCAGAGCATCACAGGGAACATGTTGAGGTCTCACACAGTAGAAGGCTTCTTGGTCTCGAGTGTTCAGGTACTGGCACAGTTCAGCACTTGTGTTTAGGGTCAGGCCACATTCAGAGAGAACTTGGGAGTTACCACTGGCGAACTGGCCAGTGAAGATTACCCTGGTTCCTTGCCTTGGTTCCTTGCCCACCAGAGGGCCAACACCCCCTCACAGGGGTGAATGAGCAGCAGGGACAGACACCTGGCCCTCCCAGAACAGAGTGAAGCGGATAAGGTAGGTGCCGTTGTTGAAGTCAGTCACCTCTCCTGAAGCGCCTGCCTTCAGCGCTGGGGAAGACATCCTGGCCCTCAGGAAATCCCCACCATACTCCTTCCTGCATCCCAGATGGTCCCTCACCCCCAGCAGGAGGTCTAGCTGCTCCTCTATACAGTAGGTGTCTCGAGGATTGAGCACAGTGACTTTGCTGTGTGCTGCACTGGTGGTAGTGTTCACATGGGGGAAATGTCTGGGTGGGATCAGCTGGTCTAATTTCGTCATGATTTCCTTTATCTTCAGGACAGTCTCTGCTGGTGAGACCACTGGATGCAGTAGCACTTCAGAGTATAAAGGCTTTTTGAAGATGTTTTGTTGGCTCAGGGTGTTAGGGCCCCTGAAGCAGAACAAGAACTGAAGTATTGAGGGAAAAGGAATATATTATCAGCAAATAGGGTTTGCTTAACAGCACGTATTACTATAGTGCAGTTTACATCTTTCAGTATGATGTAATCACATGTCAAAATTAATTCTAGCTAGTTTTCTGTTTGAGGATCATAGGAATTGATTTCCATGAAATGTAACTTCCGCTACTGCCAGCAGTTAATTTCTTTTGGAAGTCATTGATTTAAATAAACTATAGATAATAAATATATACTATTTCATGGTTGAAATTTTTAAATTTTTTTCCTTTGACATCCCACTCATTTGACGTATTTTTTCTTTATAAAAATTATATAACCACATTATAGACAATATGGAAAACAGCAAATTAAAAATGTATATAATCCTACCTAGGTTTTGCTGTCTTTATGGTACATTTTATTTATTATGCCCACTCTTTCTTTTTTCTTACATGTATACATTGTACCTGGTTGTAATTATACTAAACATGTAGTTTTAAAACTCTTTTCATAATAATTTAACATATTCAAGTACCTCCGATATTAAAAAAAGAAAAACTTTTTGAACTTCCTATTCTCCCTTTAACTACTATTCCAACTTTCTTTTGCACACCCCCACCACCACCACTCCAACCCAATTAAGCTTCTGAAGAGTTCTCTTCAATCTCTGGCCTCACTTTCTCTCCTACCACCCACTTCACAGTCCTGTGCTTATTTGGCTCCTCAGGGTTATATCATTGGCAACTTTTTCTTCTCACTCTAAAGCTTACCCAAGGAAAATATCTTATACTCCAGTGAATCCAACTGTCATTTCCAGTCTGATGCTTCCTAAATCTGTATTTCTAGGATAGGTCTTTCTCAACTTCAGATTTGTATATTTAACAGACTATTGAAGCAACATCTCTATTTGGATGACCTAAAAGCACCTCAAACAAGGACTGTTCATATCTAAACTTATATTTTCTTCATTCAAAATTACTTCTTCTCCTGTGGTCCATTAGTCAATGAATGACATCACCAGCCATGCAGCTGTACAAACCAGAAACCTGGAAGGTAATTCCTGGTTAACCCTACCTCCTTGCCCCCACAGTCAATCATTATTTCTTCCAAATTCATTGACTTCTCTCCATTCTCATCACCTTATTTCAGGTCACCGTAACTTCTTACCTTGATCCCTGAGTAGTTTTTTTTTTTTTTTAATTTTAGTTAGTTACTTTACAGTTATTTATTAAGCACCTACTGTGTGCCTACACTGTTCTGGCAACTTTGACAAAAGCAGTCTCAGTAGATGCAGGGGGCAAAAGCCATACCCACATGAGTGTAAGAGAATGGGAGGAGAGAAACTGAAGACAATACAACCGTCTCTCTCAAGAAGTGTTTCTGCAAAGAGGGCAGTAGTTGGCTGGGAGAAATGACATCAAAATAAAAAATTTTTAAGACAGAACAAATAACAGTATGTTGGTATGCTGATAGGATAGGAGTACTCTGTGAAAAGAAAAAAAAATGATGCTCTTCAGCATGGGATGGATACCTGGAGCCATGTTTTTACATAGATTTTAGGGGATGAGATTGAATGCACAAATGAGGGATTGCTTTTAGGTGGGATCAGTGGATTTATGGTGACAGTAAAGAAGGCAGCCAAAACCAAACCCGTTGCTATTGAGTTGATTCCAACTCATAGTGACCCTATAGGACAGAGCAGAACTTTTCCATAGAATTTCCAAGGAGCAGCTGGTGGATTTGAACTGCCAAACTTTTGGCTAACAGCTGAACCATCAGGTCTCCAAAGAAGGCAGCATATATGTCAATATATGGTGGTGGGGATTTGTGGAAGTCTCTTCTGATTAATTCAATATTTTCAGTGAAATGGAAGCAAGATTATCAGCTGAGAGTAAGGATGGGGAAAGAGGTGTTAGAGGCTTGAAGAGAGAAGTTAGAAGCAGATGAAGAAACACAGGGCATTATATAATCTTGCAGGTGGAAAGATCTTGCTTCTTTTAGTTGGTCCTCAGACAGCTGAATATCAAGTCTATAAACTAATCATCCACATTTCCAATCTGTAGATTTGGTAAAACTCCCAACTATACTGTGCCTTCATAGTTAAAGTTAATGCCCTTGTTGGCAAAGATTGGGATGTTAGAAATAGGAATGGAGATCTCCTGCAGGAGCCATGAAAGTCTAGAATCTTGAACCTCCAAACTCTTCCACATAATTTTCCACTGAACTTCAATATTGGAACAACGTAATAATCCCATCTATTAGAATGGATATCCCAGCACAAGGCTTCAGATCAACATGGACCTAGACATGATATGCAAAGGCATAATAGAGATAAATGCTCATTACCTAAGTGCTCTGCACTCCATTAGTGGGGATGAAAGCTTCCAGGTCAGGCTGGGTTAATGCTAAAACAGCAGAAGGCTTGTGGATATGGTAACCCTAGTAATAACTATCTGGTTGGGCATTTTAATCCATGTTCAGCAAATGACATGACCTACTGAGACCTGCAGCTAATGTTTTATAAGCCACAGCATTCCCCTTTCCCATGACCCACTGCCAACAGGAACAAAGTTAACATTTATCTCTTAAGATCTCATAAGATTTGTACCAACAAAAGAAAAAATTCAATCCATTTCAATTCATTCCCAGACCCAAGTATAAAGAATGCAGGCACCAGACACCAGCCAGAAATAAATACTGTGGAGGGACAGCCTTTCATAGGGAAATCCTCTACTGGCAGATATTCTCACAGGTGCATTTTCTGAGCCAGAAACTCACATCCATACAAAAAAAAGTAAGATGATTAAAAAAAAAAAAAGTCTACAGAATTAAAGAACTATCATCCATCTAACATCCAGGAGCAGCTAGCCCCTCAAATTCTAGCTGCATGGTTCATGCTGCAAGACTAGGTGATGTCCAAAGTATAGCAACCACTGTGAGGATGGCACAGGACCAGGCAGTGTTTCGTTCTGTTGAATATAGGGTCGCTGTGAGTTGGAACTGACTTGACGGCACCAAATACTCTGGCAAAAACCAATGTATGGTTCTATCAGAGGTTCCTTTTGCTTTTTTTCCTCTCTTTTCTAAATGGTATTTAGAGCACTAGACTGAAGATCCATTAATTCCTGCTACTGACATCCTTAAAGTTAACTTGTCTCCAGCCCTGTTATGCCTCCTAGTCTTAGATTTCCAAGAGATTCTATATAACCAGCCCTATTGTCTTGGGCCAACTGAAGTGGGTTTCTGTGTCTTTTAATTAAGCAAGCCTGACTGAAACACTGTGCCAAGGAGCTTGGTCTGTATCATGCTCCACTGGGGAGCCACTGAAGGAGGTCAGAGTAACATTTTCAAGTTTTCATTTTAGAAATATAATTTCAGATTCTTGAATACAAAGATTGTCTTGTATTTCATATTCCTAATGCCTAGCCCAGAGTTTCTGAGTGATACAAATCGTTAATGCACTTGGCTGCTAACTGAAAGGCTGGAGGTTTGAGTCCACACAGAGAGAGGCACCTCAGAAGAAGGCCTGGCGATCTACTTGCAAAAAATCAGCCATTGAAAACCCTGTGGAGCACAGTTCTATTCTGACACACATGAAGTCACCATGAGTTGGAGTTGACTTTATGGAAACAGGCTTTCAATGCCTAGTCCACTGTCTGACATATAACCTATACTCAACAAATATTTGTTGAACGAATAATTAGAGCATACAGAGACTGGAAGCAGGGAAATTAATTAGAAGACTTTTAACACTTTAGATAAGAAATGACAAAGGAATGGACTAAAGCAAGGACAATGAGAATGGAAAAAAGGAATAGATTCAAGAGATTTTAGGAGGCAGAATTTATAAGACATAGTATCCGATTACTGTGCAGAGAGTTTTTCCTTGGTTGACCAGATGAGTTGTTCCAATAATTCTCAAGATAGGAGAGATAGGAGAAAGAGCTGGAAATTTGTTTCCATTTGATTTTGTTTGTTTTGTTTTGTGTTTGGTCAGAGGGAGGGTGGTGAGAGAGATGATAAATTCAGTGTGCAACACCCTCCTCCCCCCGCCCCCTGGCACTACCCCCTTCACCTCGCTCCCACTGGTTGCACTAGTGGAACACTTAGGTGAAGTGATCCAATAAACAGCACATATTCAGGAGTGGGCTCAAGAGAGATTTCAGTTCTGGAAGTACATAGGCCAGAGGTTCTCAAATTTTAGCATGCATAAGAATCAGCTGGGAAGCTTGCTAATACTTCATAATCTTAGGCTCAACCATGGATGTTCTTTTTCAGCAGCTTTGGAGTATGGCTCAGGAATCTGCATCTTACATGCACACACACACACACACACACACACACATACACAAACATAAGTCTTCTGGTGCAGAGAGCCCCAGACCTCACTTTGAGAAACACTGATATTGGTAGGAGTGCAAGGAACCTGGGGATATGAATTAAAGGGGACAAGAATGGAAAAGAAGAGGATCAAAAGAAGAAATCTAGGGAACATCACTGTTTACAGAGGGACCCAGAAAGCAGGGGTGGATGACCCAGTAAGCAAGGTAAGCACGGGCTTACTTGTGCTTACTTACTAATCTGTGACAGTAAGTAAGTAAGCATAAGTAAACCCGTGCTTACCTTGCTTACTGGGTCATCCAGCCCCTGTCAGTGATTGTAAATTTGAAAAGAGGCTTTGATTCCGTAGGAAGGTGCTGTGGGGTTGGGAGAGAGACAGATACCAGCCATACTTGGAAGCAGAACCTCTGATGTGGTGAAAAAATGTGAAATTGTTCACTACAGATGGTCTAGTAAGCAAGGTAAGCACCATGGTTACCTTGCCTATTGGATAATCTGCCTCTGCCAGGAAGAGAAACTTACCACGCTGTGGTCTGAAAGCTCTATTATTTATCAGTTTGTATTTTGTCTGAATGTCCTTGCGGTGCTTCTGATTTGAAGCTTGGAGTGTGTATTAGACAAAGGGGAGAGAGACGCTTTTACAAGTAGTTGGGTTTAAATTTTGAAGGGCCTTAAATGTTAAACTCAGGAGTTTGATCTTTGTGCTGTCATCAGTGAAAGCCAGTGAAGGTTTTTGATTGGGACAAGAACATGATAAAAGTAGTAATTTCGAAAGATTATTTTCATACTAAATTACGAGTCAGAATCCACCCAGTGGCAATGCAGGGGGAGGGGAAGGCATGCACTGGGAGGAGGAGAAACTGGAGGGAGAACAGTTAAGAAAGACTGCCAGAAGGGAAGATTAAGAAACATTAACAGAACTTTAAAAAAAAAAAGAAAGAAAGAGGAAACAAAAATTCTGAGAAGTAGGCAGAAAACTGAAACAGAGATATAATTAGATTGGAGTCACAGAGGCCAAGGAAGGAGAGAATTTTGAAAAGGGACAGTTAGCAGTGCCAAATATTACAGAGACAGTTGCAAATCCACCTGCCATTAAAAAAAAACAATAAAAACATAGATTGTGTCAAATGGATTAGTGCCAAATCCTTTCCTGCACATTTTCTACTTCTTTTTTTTTCCTCCTGGTCTTGATAAAGGTGAGCATTCAAATGAAGCCACTGTGACCTCTAAAACTGTGAAAAAAGAAACGATGCCTAACTCTGAGTGGCCTTTGGAAGCCAAGTAAATGACGAAGGAAACCACCATAAACATCAACATCAGCAGTAATTGACGAGCTACGGCATCTGGAAACAAAGTGAGTGTCCTATAAAGAGACGACAAGAGAAGTAATCACACATATAATCAAATGAACATTCCATTGTTCCATACAGAGTCGTATTTCCTCAATAATTTCCAGAACAGGACTATGTTCTACACAGCTGCCATCTCCTGGGTTCTCAGAAAGTTCTATTCGAAACCAGAAATAAGGGTCTTCTTGGAGGCAAGGAAATTAGCTGGTTAAAGGACTCCTGGTTCCCGACCCTGATTCATTCTCCAGTTTTGGAGTCAAAAATCAGGTCTCGAAGCCTCTTCTCTCATCAGGGATTCAGCAGGCACAGCAAGGTTTTAGCAACTGTTTACTCTGAGAAACACTTATTTCTGGTTTCCTCTAATGAATCCTGGTCTCTAAATCACTCTCCGATGCACACAGGCACATGCACACATATACACAGGCACATGTGTACATGCACATACACAAACACACATGCACACACGTGCATACAGGCACATACATATATAAGCAGACACAAACACACGTATTATCCGGTGCCCTCTCTCCCTTGTCTTCTGAGCCTCCAGAGGGTTCCTTCAAAATTTCCCCTTTGTTTTGTTAAAATTAAACAACTCCCCAGAAGCCTGGAGAATACTCCACGAGTTCTGGGTGTCTCATCATTAAATATACTCCTGCAAACCAACCTCATTAATCCCTCAAGAATGCCCCTACTTGGACCATGGTCTAGGGGAATGTCTAACTCAACTGGCATAGCATAGTTTATAAAGAAAATATTCTACATTCTACTTTGGTGAATAGCAACTGGGGTCTTAAAAGCTTGTGAGCAGCCATCTAAGATATTCCACTGGTCTCACCCCATCTGGAGCAAGGGAGAATGAAGAAAACCAAAGATACAAGGGAAGGATTAGTCCAAAGGACTCATGGACCACAACTACCACAGCCTCCACCAGACTGAATCCAGCACAACTAGATGGTGCCTGGCTACCACCACCGACTGCTCTGACAGTGATCAAAATAGAGGGTCCCGGACAGAGCTGGAGAAAAATGTAGAAAACAATTCTAACAAAAAAAAAGACATAATTTACTAATTGACAGAGACTGGAGAAACCCCAAGAGTATGGCCCCAGACACACTTTTAGCTCAGAAATGAAGTCACTCCTGAGGTTCACCCTTCAGGCAAAGATTAGAGAGGCCGATAGGACAAAATGAGACTAAAGGGGCACACCAGCCCAGGGGCAAGGACAAGAAGGCAGGAGGGGACAGGAAAGTTGGTAATGGAGAACATAAGGTCGAGAAGGGGAGAGTGTTGCCATGTCGTGGGGTTGGCAATCAATGTCACGAACAATATGTATATTAATTGTTTAATGAGAAGTTAATTTGCTCTGTAAACCTTCATCTAACGTACAATTAAAAAAAATAGAGGAACTTGGAGTAGGTAGTGGCAGTAGGGGTACTGAGAAGTGGTCAAATTCTGTATATATTTTGAAAATAGAAATGAATTCACTACTGTTTTCAAATTCAATAAAAAAATTATTATACTAAAAAAATTTAAATGAAAAAAAAGTGCCCCTTCTTGTTTTCCCAAAGACCTTGCTCACTGTGAAGTAACAGATGATAGATGTTTAATCTAAAAGTTTCTTTTTCCCAAGGCTTGTATCTCTGAGATTTTGTGTATTCCACATGACTCGTTCTTCTGCAGTACTGTATAACCTTCAAAGAACCAGCTGTACATTCTTTTATCACAAGATTGTAAATAGCATATAAGCAAAAAACTGCTTCTCAATAGTCCCAGGATTTTCTCTAAAACTGACTGCCTGTTTGCAGATGTCTCTCTCTCACTCTTAATAAATAGCTGCTCTCTTTAACTGTCAAAGTCTTATTGTTTTTAACAGTTTTTAGGCAGTTTGTTTCCTCCTCAGGTTCTTATACTAAAGTAGTGAAAAACACTTCCATAAAGGGGAAGTGTGTATTCTTTAGAAAAGGTCATTATTGAGTGGCCAGAATTTTAGTCCTGGTTTTCTAAACCCAGGATCCCAAAAGCGTGACAAAAAGCTAAATTATATCAATTTTTTTTTTGACAGGATCCATGGTAAGAAATTACTATTAAATCCCAACTCAGAGCACATACACACATACACACCAAAAGTCTCATAAAACAATACTTATCCTTACTGTATGCTACTACACTGTGGTATTTTCTATTTAGTCTATTTTATTCCATTCCATTTAAAAAATATCTATCATGCTCAAATAAAAATAATTTTTTTATACCTAAATTCTTGCAACATCTGTATTTTAAAAAGCTCTGACTGCTCTATGGTTCCCCCTCCCACCCCAGCCATAAAGCCCACATGTTAGAGTTGGAAAGTACTGCACCTATGGATAGAAATCTTCCCCATCCTATTCACATATTCTCTCATGGAAAGAAAGCTGTCCAGAGAGTTCCTTTAGATGAAGTAGTCTTCGCATTCATTTCAGGGATGGAGGTTCCCTATAAGCTTCATTGATCAAAAGCAGAAATGTCATTTGTGGCCACAGCCTGCCAGCTGGAACCAGAGGCCTCCCTGTCAGTGATCTGTCTCTGGTGACTGCAGAGAGCCAGAAGAAAGAAGTGGTGGGGGGAGGAAGTGGGACTCTCTGGTTTGTCTTTAGAGTACGGCCATCTAACCACAGCCCAGAATCACGTTTGGTTGAGGCCATCCATATTCCTATACCAAGTGCATGTTCTGTGCTCCCTCCTTTTGCTGCCCCATGGGATTAGACACCACCATGGTAGCAGGAGTAGTCCCTGAAAACTGGAGAGAAGGCAAGCAGAACATTGGTCTATGGTTGTTGAACAACTGATAATTGATTTGTCTGGTTGCACTCAATCTTTGAAGGGCTTTCTTTGTAAACTCCTTCTTCTCTTGCTCTAAACAACTGTATACAGCAAGCACTGCAACAATGACAAGGTAAATTAAATCTCAGGCAAAAGAGGAACAGTCACAGGTCTAAGCCCCACTGACGTAGAGACAAGGTGGAAGGGAATCCCAAACAGCACACTGTGGGTGTGGGCATCACTGAAACTGAAGGTGGGGAGTGGTCACAGTGCGACTACCTCCCCAGGCTGCTCGTTTTCCACTGCTCCACCCTCACTTCTCACAGATGGTCATTTTTTTTTTAATAGACTTTATTTTTAGAGCTGTTTTAGATTTACAGAGAAATTGTGCAGAAAGTACAGAGTGGTCCCGTATACTCCCTCTCCCCACTACACACTGTATTTCCTATTGTTAACATTTTGAATTCATGTGTATGTTTGTTACAATTGATGAGTCAATACTGATGTGTTGTTATTAACTGAAGTCCACAGTTCAAATTATGGTTCACTTTTTGTGTCCTACAGTCTTATGGGTTTTGCCAAATACACAATGTCATGTGTCCACCATCACAGTATCACACAGAATAGTTTCACTGCCCTAAACCACAAATAGTCTTTTGACACCACATTATGCTCAGTTTGCATTACTGTGCATGAGTATATACCCATATCTGTATGTATTATATATATATGGACCAAAATAGATGTTGGCAGAGATTCTGAAACTTGCTCTTGAAAGTAGAGTAGCTAAAGTGAAAGAAAGAAATGATGAAGTGAAAGAGTTGAACAGAAGATTTCAAAGGGAAGTTCAAGAAGACAAAGTAAAGTATTATAATGACATGTGCAAAAACCTAGAGTTAGAAAACCAAAAGGAAAGAACATTCTCAGCATTTCCCAAGCTGAAAAAACTGAAGAAAAAATTCAAGCCTTGAATTACAATACTGAAGGATTCTATGGGTAAAATATTGAAAAAAGTAGGAAGCACCAAAAGAAGATGGAAGGAATACACAGAGTCACTGTACCAAAAAGAACTGGTCAACGTTCAACCATTTCAGGAGGTAGCATATGATCAAGAACTGTTGGTATTGAAGGAATAAGTCTAAGCTGCACTGAAGGCATTGGTGAAAAACAAGGCTCCAGGAATTGTCGGAATACCAAATGAGATGTTTCAACAAACAGATGCAATGCTGGAAGCGCTCACTCTTCTATGCCAAGAAATTTGGAATACAGCTACTTAGCTAACTGACTGGAAGAGATCCATAAATGTGCCTATTCCAAAGAAAGGTGATCCAACAAATGTGGAAATTTTCAAACAACATCATTAACATCACACAAAAGTAAAATTATGCTGAAGATAATTCAAAAATGGTTGCAGCAGTACATCAACAGGGAAGTGCCAGAAATTCAAGCCAGATTCAGAAGAGGACGTGGAATGAGGGATACGATTGCTGATTTCAGATGGATCCCAGCTGAAAGCAGAGAATACCAGAAAGATGTGTACCTGTGTTTCATTGACTATGCAAAGGGTTCAACTGTGTGGATCATAACAAATTACGTATAACATTGCCAAGAATGGAATCCCAGAATACTTAATTGTGCTCAAGAGGAACCTGTACATAGACCAAGAGGCAGTCGTTCAAACGGAACAAGGGGATACTGCATGGTTTAAAGTCAGGAAAGTTGTGCGTCAGTGTTGTATCCTTTCACCATACTTACTCAATCTGTATGCTGAGCTAATAATCTGAGAAGCTGGACTATATGAAAAAGAACACAGCATTAGGATTGGAGGAAGACTGATTAACAACCTGCGATATGCAAATGATACAACCTTGCTTGCTGAAAAGTGCAGAGAGAGAACTTGAAGCACTTACTGATGAAGATCAAAGACTACAGCCTATAGTATGGATTACACCTCAACATAAAGAAAAAATCCTCACAAGTGGACCAATAAGCAACATCATGATAAACAGAGAAAAGATTGAAGTTGTCAAGGATTTCATTTTACTTGGATCCACAATCAACACCCATGGAAGCAGCAGTCAAGAAATCAAACAATGTATTGCACTGGGCAAATGTGCTGCAAAAGACCTCTTTAAAGTGTTAAAAAGCAAAGATGTTACTCTGAGGACTAAGGTGCACCTGACCCAAGCCATGGTCTTTTCAA